GAAGAAGGGTCTAGGCCCGAAACGTCAGCCTTCCTGCTCCTCTGATGCTGCTTGGCCTGCTGTGTTCATCCAGCTCTACACCTTGTTATCTCAGATTCTCCAGCATCTGCAGTTCCTACTATCTCTGAGCATTTGTCAGTCACATTTGCTTGAAAACTGTTGAAAGCTTAATGTTTTTCAGTTCTGATGAAAGAGGATTGGCGTGAAACGTCAACTCTGTTTATGCCTCTGCCGCTGCTAAGTATTTCCCAAATGTTCAATTTTACTACCATGTAAGATTAAATGGTTTGATGGGCAATGGGAAAAGGATGGGGAGTGGTGAGTCACTCTTCATTGAGAATAAGGACAGTACAACTTTAAGCATCCTGGAACCCAGCAAACCTGAGGAAACCAGAAGGATTAAAATTCTGATAGATCAGTGACAGGATGGGATTAAAAAAATTTTGGCTCAGTGAAAATCTCACTTCATTAGACACTCCTTGCTTTCACTGAAGGTAAACAACACACTGGATGTGATCCTTTACCTCAATCATTCGTTTTCCTTGCTCATCGTTCACTCAGGCTACCTGAGTGTTTATTTTAACCACAACAGCTGTGTGTAAACAGTGACAGGCTTCCAAGTTTTAATGGACTTTTGTTTAGTCTGTGTCCATGAAAAATGAGGAAAAATTCAGTTGCAATTTTCTTATCCTGCCTTTGTGCTCTTGGGACTTTATTCTAAACAATTAGAATGGGTTTGCACCCAGAATTGGCTGATCCTGTTAATATGGTTATGTTAATAGCTCACGCTTGGAACGTACAAAGGATTGGAATGTAATAAGCAAATCCAGAGAGAATTTTATGATGCACTTTCCTTTAAAGGGATACTGGCATGAGATGAAAGTTGCAGTTCATCCAACTATTCTTTTTAATGAATTATGGGATCTGAAGCAGTTTAATGTGATTAATTACTCGAAACTTCAGCACCAAAATCAGCATGGAATCAATGAGTTGGTACCTGAACTATAACATTAAGGAACTCAATCGAACATACAAACAAGGAACAAGATTAGGCCACTCGACCCTTCAAGTCTGCTTTTCCATTCAGTAAGATCATGGCTGATTGGATTTTAGTCTCAACTCTACATTCCTTCATGTCCTCCAATAATCTTTCATCCCTTAAGCTGGCTATGTCAACATTTATTGCCCATCCAATAATTGCCCAGAGGGTTGAGAGTCAATCATGTTGTTATGGACCTGGAGCCACATGTAGGTGAGACCAGGTAAGGATGGCATTTTCCTTTCCTAATGGGTTTTAGTGAACCAGATGGTTCGTGGTCATCATTAGATTTTTTTCTTCCCCCAGTGACTTCAAATTTCACCATTTGCCATGATGGGGTTCAAACCCAAGTTCCCAGAATATTACTGGATCTACTAGATTAATAGTCCAATGATAATGTCACCTCCCCTCAGCAACTGCTGACTCTGCCTTAAAAGTATTTAAAGATTCCACATCAACTGCCTTTTGAAGAAGGGAATTCCAAAGACTTATAACAATCTGAGAGGAAAAAATGTTTCAACATCCCTGTTTTAAATAGGCACCTCCTTCTTTTTAAGTTATGACCCCTGGTTCTAGATTGTCCTACAAGAGGTAATTGTTCAGGGATTAACTTTCTTAATGTAAGTCAAACTGTCATTTGTTTTGATGCACTAAATTAGGGCTTTTCAATCTTTGTGTTTCCTTTCCCGTGTTATTAAAAAATGTCCATTAGTCTTCTATGAGGGTTTTTCACTCCTGTACAAAATTTGTTATAAATTTAACAAGTGCAGTCCTTATGATCTTGGGAAGGGTCGTTATAGCAGTAATGTCATTGGACTGGGAATCCAGATCCCTAGGCTAATACTTTGGGAACATCAGTTTGACAAATGGTGTAATTTAAAAATTCATAATATCAGGAATTAAAAACTGGTCTAATAGTGCCCATGTAACCATTGTCAATTGTTGTAAAAACCTATCTCATTTGCTAATCCCCTTTAGGGAAGGAAATCTGCTGTCCTTACCAGTCTGGCCTACACATGAATCCAGATCCACAGCAAAGTGGTTGACTGTTAACTGTCCTCAGTGCAATTAGGAATGTCCCAGTCAGCAATACCCACATCCTATGAATGAATTTTTTTTAAAAACATCACAGCACGACACATGTCTTTTTACTTTAATATTCCCTGGTGGTCTTCTGACACAGTGGGTAGTGGCCCTGCCTCTCGGCCAGAAGTTCTGGGTTCACGTTCTACTCCAGGACTTGACAGTGAGTGAAGGTGCATTCCTAACGAGGCAAAATGGGTTGGGTATCAGCCCGTAAGTCCTCCCAATACACACACCAATAAAAGGTGGTAAGAGCCAGAGAGATCCCTGGTCAGATTCTAGGTTCAAATATGCATTTAAAAAAAAAATTCTGCATTATCTTGCTAAGTCCAACCCTGGACCAAGAAATGCGTGATCACTGATGCTGCATTATAAATAAAACAAGATATAACACCAACCAGATCAGGAGTCAATAGGAAGGGTGAAAAGGAGGAAGGTGATAGCTTATTGGTATTATCACTAGGCACTTAATCTGGAGGCCCAGGTTCAACTCCTACTGTGGTAGGCTAATGATAGCCATGAAACTGTTGTCAATTGTCAAGGGAAAAATCTATCTGGTTCACTAGTATCCTTTGGAGATGGAAACGACCATCCTTACTTGATCTGGCCTAAGTGTGACTGAACTACAATGTGGTTGACTCTTAATTGCCCTGTGGCAATTAGGGATGGATGCCTGGCCAGCAATGGCCCCATCCCATATGTTAAAAAAAGGTAATCAAGGTTTTAAGAAATGTCTTAAGTAAGGAAAATTGAGATTTTGGAGGAAATTCCAGATCTTGGCAACTGAACGTATGACTACTGATGGTGGAGTAATTAAAATGGTGGGTGCGTCATATCTCAGAACTGGAATGCACCACCAGATGATGAGTTTAGCAGTCAGGACCTGGTTACAATCTTGGAAGGAATTCGACAACCTGACTGGAGCAGTTAAAGTAAGACAGCTGCTATCTTACTCTGCGCTCACATTTACTTCTCTCCCGTGTTTCCTTTGCTCTCCTACAATCACAGCTGCACACTTCATTCCACACCGTACATCGGTTTGTGTATCTGGCAGGATCAGTGGTTCTTTTAAAAAGACCAACTTACTCTCCTTCCTTCCCCCGGGCACTGACCAAATTCAGAAACCCCACCATTAAATGCAATAAAGGGTCTTCAGTTCATAAGCTAAGGCAGAGCTGTTTGGAATGTATTTGGCTCTATAAATCTTTCCTGTAATTGTAGAGCGAAAATATTTCCTGTGGTGACCAACATTTTCATGCATTGAATGACTGATTGCTCACCAGGTATTTTCAAAACGGTCTCTATTAAAATGTTTCCTGTTTCACTAAGTCTGGTTGCCAGCACTTCATTAGATCCCTGTAATTAAAATGCCTGTGACCACACTCAATCATGTTCCATCATAGTTGGGCAAAACCTAAAGCATAAGATCAGCAAGCAGCAGAATGGATAACTTGATTGAAAAAACACACTTTCACCAATTATTTAGTGATGACTGAAGACATTGTCTCTGATTCCCATTGACAAACTCTGTTCCCTAGCTACTTTCTCTCATATTTTGAGAATAAATCTGACTCTTAGCAAACTTGGAGTCATGTTTGTGTACAGGGTTAGCTTTCTACCACAAATACACGCCATTGCTATGAATAATTCGACTTTCCGTAACATTGCCCAACTCCATTTCTACGGCAAATAAAAACCAAAAGAACTGCGGGTGCTGTAAATCAGAAACAAAAACAGAAAATGCTGGAAAAGCTCAGCAGGTCTGGCAGGATCTGTGGACAGAAAGGGTCACTCCACCCAAAACGTTAACTCTGATTTTTCTCCACAGGTGCTGCCAGACCTGCTGGGCTTTTCTGACAATTTCTGTTTCTGTTTCCATTATTACGTTGCTCATTTGCTACTGAAAGCCTCATTCAAGACATTATCACCTCAAGAGTCAACAGTTCCTACGCACTCCTGGGTTATCTCTCATGGTGTACCTTTGGTGGACTTCAGATCATTCAAATCTTTAATGCCCGGGTTAAGAACCGTGTATGACAATAAACTTTACTTATTTTGTGTGGTAAGGAAGGGAGGAGATGACTGGCCATTTTTAGAGTTTCATTTGTGAGATTGGGGCTGTAGTACCTAAGTGTATGG